GGCAAGCAAAAAGAGGGAAGTCATTAGTATAATTGTAATATCTTCCTCTTCCTTTAAATTAGATAAGGTTTATAACGATTCGATGAAAGCAATTCTAAGCACTTCGAAGACTCTGAGAATCAAGAAAACTGTACACTTAAAAGAAGTCAGTCAGCGGGTCGTCGATTTCAACTAATTTTTTTTGGTCGACTCCTTATCGAAAAATATTAAACACTCATTTGTTCCAACGGACACTGGTTTTATATAACTTTTTTTAAATATATTATGTTATTTCTTTTTGTCTTTGTTTTGTCCGTATTTTCAGGTTATTGTATACCAATATATCTACTTTGTTTGCAGATTAAGAAAAATATATTGCTGATAGTTTTAAATATAGTATACCATAAATAATAAAAATGAAAAGGAGCTTCGAGTAAATTAACGTTGTGTTTGGAGAATACTCTGAGAGAGTTATGAATGCTTTAATTGACGGTTGGAAAAAAAAAATCCTCAAACTAAATTGATCACTTAGGTTTGCATTTTTTTTATTTCTATAAAAATTCATATTTAAGAGTTTTAAAGAACACTAACGAAACTAACTTGCTTTTTATTCAAAACAATTTCTTCAGCTTACTTATCCAAAAGCGTCTTAACACTATGAGTTTCTTTATGGGTCATTCAATTGTATCAGTAATATTTTTTTCTTAACTCCTCACAAAAGACGAAATAGATCGGCATGTAATAACCTGAAAATTCGGACAAAGCAAAGCAAAAAATAATTAACATTAATTTTTTTTATCATCTAAAAATTTTGTTTATTGTTTCCTTAGGCCGACTGGAGCGAATGGCGGGGCATGTGTTTAATATTTTCAATGAAAAGACAAGAAACCGCTCGAGGTTTCCGATTAGTTCAGAACTTACTAGACAAACGCTCTAAACTTCCAATTAATTAGAAAATACTCATATACATGACTATAACAAGCCCTATTTGGACTTACGGAGTTGAGCTATGGGGCTCCACTAATCCATCGAATTCCTCTAGCACCGAATCATTACAATCTAAAATCCTTCGTAAAATCCTCATTGCTCTCCTACTTTGTTACAAATAAAACCGTCCACAATGACCTTAATTGTTTCTTATGTTTCAGATCTAGCCCAATCCAGATACCTATCCTTCCATAGTAAACTTCAGAACCATCCTAATCCTCTCATTTCTAACCTTACTTCCTCCTCGATTCCTGATAAGCATCCTAGGCGTCTGAAAAGAAGATGGCCCAGTGATCTCCTAACGTAGATATATCATTAGAGTGCTACCGTTGGGTAGTTTCTCAACAAGTCTTTTCACGTCAGTAGATCCATATGTTCAAATTTACTAAATATATTTCTTTAATACAGTTGTAAATATCATTAATAAATAAATAGAAAAAAACCTTTTCAGAGTATTATAGTTATATAATAGGTTTGTTTGTCTATATTTATATATTTCTTTTTGTGATAGAACCCTTATTTGATCGCACCATGACAGGTTTTACTTCAAAGTGTCAATGTTAACATTATTTTCAAAATTAATAAAAGTAACATTTAAATAAATTCAGTAAGTGATTTTATAAAACCGATTTTATTTATTTTCATAATAATTTTTTTTTATTAATAATGATATTGGATAATTGTTGACTAGAAGATATATAGAAAAAAAGTTGGAAGAATTTTCTATAGTTTTTCTCAGTTTTCATAAGGAGATATCTAGCAGGATAAAAATCTATACAATTGATAAAAAAAAGGATTAATCGTCAATACAGAATTTTAAAAAATATTTATTTTAGAAGTATAATTGGATATAATAAATAGAGATGAAGATTATGAGGAAGCACCGGACATTTCCTTTAGCATGAGTCTCTTCCTGAATCAACGAACCATCAACAAGGCCTTATAGCATCGCATAATCGATTGGTGGAGATGAGCAGAATACTATCGATTAGTAAAGGTGTAATTAACAGAGATTACAGTTAGTTATGTTAATTCGCCGAGCTAGTATAATTAGCGACCTCTGCGCTGCAATTACCTTCAACCCGTCATTTGGGAAATGTGACTGTACGTGCTTAAGAAAGCTACTTGGGGAATATTTTTTATCGGTCGCTAATGCCAAGGCATCTTCTCTGTGGCTACGTTATTAGGCTAATGGTCTTCAATTATTCTTCAAAAGAAAATTAACAAATTATAACATCATGAGGAAATTTTCAAACGCATACATAGGGTACATAAAATGTGGAGAGACAATACCATCAAATGCAACGAAAGGAACGAATAAGTTTAAATAAAGTATTAATCCAACTAAATAATAATTTTTAAAAATTGCACCACCACAATTATCAACCGCCAGGTATCTTTCTCCAAAATGTTGATTTATACACGAAAATCTAAGTTAAGTCTTCCGGACAATTAACGCTACCAAATGTACAATTTTATAAAGATAAATAACATAAAGTTAAAAAAAAATCTCGAAATATTAGAAATTCCCCTCCATTCTAATTTAGCTATTTTTTGTATTCAAAATTCACAATATTTATAAGCAATAATAATTAAATAATGAATTTTTCTTAAAATATTATTTTTTTTTTAAATCCATAAATATTAAGTAGCATTAGAATATAATTTCAAGAATCTACATATTAATTTTCCTGGATTTAAGTGCAGGTTTTGCTCTATAATACATAAGTTTTTTTTTCTTAAAGCCTCTCCTAAATTACCGCAAATAAATATATTAAAATACAGCAAAATAAGTTTCTATTTGATGTCTAAATATGTTACCTGAAGTGAAAGAAAGATTTATTTCCAACCCAAAAATGATTCATAAAAGATGATGTACGAACCTGTAACAGACAAAAACTATATATTAAATTGATGTACTGTTTACTTACAACATATTTTTAATAAAAATAAAACGTCTTTAAAAACTATATTTTTATTTGTAATATACTTGAAAGATCTATAATTGTTTTTATTATTAATGTTTATTGACATTGGAGATAGTTATTATCCTAATTAACGAGTTATCAAAAATATTTTGTCAAAAAATGGCTGTAATTAAAAATGTCTTAAATTAAATATATATAGTAAATGACAAATAAAAGAGAATTACATTTTTGTTTTTAATTATTTATTTATTTATTTATTAAAGGGTAATGGCTCTACCCCGAAGGATCATTGGTATTTCAAATATTTCTACACTCGATGGTAAAACGTCATTTCTATTAAGAATTTTGAAAGAGATCTCACACCAATTTCTGAGTCTTCTAGGATTTTTCTTTTCTACAAAAGCATTAGAATATTTAAATTACCGCAAATCGTTCGTCACTGCACTTGCTTACTCAAGGGACAGTCAACCTATTGTGCACCCTAACATTTTGTTATTTTTCTAGTGGAATTAGATTTAAATCGTATCAGTTTGAACTGCCTATGATGCTAGTGAGCATTTTTTTAATACATATTTTTTTTGTTTTTTTCAATTTCGATAGCTAACGTTGCAGTAATAGATATGGCCTGAGTTCTACTTGCATTCTCAAAAAAGGAAATTAAAATTAACTACAGCAGCTTAAACATAACATTTTGGCGATATACATTAATATATTATATATTAAGTATTATATATAATATTAATTGATTTATTATATTGTTTTCTATTTTTCAATAGTGATTTCTTATACTATTGTAAGTTGATATGTTTGTTTCTCCCAGATCACAAACGTACCAACCTAAAAAAAAAAAATAAAAAAAAAGGATTGGCAGCTCTCTAGTAACACCCAAGGATCAGAGTCCTATCTAACATCTTCCCAAGGTTTCACTTTTCCGTCTGAGAGGCGATCGGTTAGAGTAGCGAACCATGGCAGGATGTGCCGCGACGGTTGAAGCCGATGGAGCGACAAGGCACGGGTAAGGAAATGAAGAGATAGAATCTCTAGCGTTACTGTCACCAGAACAAAATCGACATCCCTTAAAGAAAGAAATCGATTTAAATAAAAATTCCAGGTTCCCGCAGTGTTCGGTTGGAAACAAGCCAAATGTAAACTGGCATATATGCCAAGATTTTCACTTTTTCATTTACATATATTTAATCAATTCTTCCTCCATGATTTCTGTCTATATTAGACTTAAAATATAATATCGATTGTATTATGTCGTGTAGCGTTCTCAGGATTCAAGAACATTCCAGTAATTCGCTATCATTGCAAGACAACGGGAAAGTTTAATAACAATAATATATATATACAGGACTAAAGACTCTTTAGGGGATTTTAAGCACAGTAATGTGACATCAACGGGATAAGACCTGAGTGATATTAAAGACCATTTGAGAAAATTGTAAAAATGTGTTTCACCGTTGATATAAAGTTGTACTTCCGGTTAGCTGATTTTTACTAAAAAGTTGTTGTAACATCTGAAGTATATACAAACATTAAATATGAAATTTAACTTTCGTAAGACTTTTCGTTTTTGAGCTAGACTGTTCACATACATACACGCATATACAGACCATTTTTTGAGACTTTGTTATTTGGACTCAGGTGACCTCAAAACATGTATTTCCGTTGAAAACTCAAAGTCGAAAATTTTCACGATCGCAATACTGTCCCTTACTATATATTTCATATATAGGTAAGTGGAATTAAAAAAGGCTGTACCACTGAATATTGCATGAACTTTGCGGAATATTGTTATTTGTAACCGACTAATACACTAAGCGAATTATTCGCACATGCCAGCTAGTATTACTTATTTTAATAATATACAGATCAGAAAAAATATAATAGTATATTGTTATTGTTACCTCTATTTTTTTTCTATTACTGTTTAACTGTACCATTTACAGTAGGGATATAAGTTATCACAACGTTCGTCCTAATAGTAAAAAACACTTTTGCTCCTTTGGAAGCTAGTAGAGGAGGGAAGACTGATTGAGTTATGTGCTGATCAAAGGTAAATCATAGCGAGCCCTTTCATAGAGTGCCTGGCTCTTCAATAAGATGTACGTGAGCCGTGGTCGGCACCATTGTCCAACCTCCTCTTCTTTGTTCATCTCCGAAATCACTGGTCCGCTGTCTGTCTTTATTCCTCCAGCTATAATGGATACTGGACAAGTCCTCGCTCAGGTATGATAATCGGGGAGGCGTCCCTCACGGCTGTGTCAAGCTCTTCCGTCACCGAGTCGGTGGAAGGTTCCAGAAGCTTATCATGACCAATTGGTTTGGGAATCGGTCGGATTACATACAACTATTTAAAATATATTTTTAAATGTAAATCAATGATATATGTTAATTTAAAAAGCTTATAAGAAAAATATGTCCGACAGCAGTCCGCCCATTTGAGATGAAGTAAGGTTCTATCACTGGAGATTGGTACGATAAATGTTAATAGTCATCAGCATATAGACTTCAATGATCTCATTTTCCTCAAGAGTTAATAAGCATCAGTCAGTAGTTACTTTGCATTGTTTGAATATATATTTAGAATATAATATGGATGAAGTTGAAATGTCATCAGGTTTTTGACCAATGAAGGAAGGCATGAGTGTCCAAAGGTTCATTTAACATTCGTCATATTGTAACGCTGGTGAAATTTAGTAGATGCTTGGATGTGGACATCCCTCGACCCCGCTCTCCAAAACACACAAAAAATAATATTCAAATCAGATTTAATTTATTTTCTTATATAATGAATTAAATTAATATATTTCGTGTATTTAATTTTATTATTGCTTATTCTTCTGAGTATTTTATTTTTAAATTAACTGTTTGCTTTGGTAAATGCTTACCACTTATAATAGGACAATTCACCTATTATTGAATATCTCCATTTAAATAAATTTCAAGTACAATTCTCCGCGCATCTAATTAAATGCCTGAATGCCCAATGTTCATATACGTCTTCCTCTAAAGTACCTTTAATATGGTTTGTTTTATAATAATTAACTATTCCTTATTATTAAGAGTTACGAAAAAATGCTAAATATAACTTTTGAAAGAATTTGATAATTGAATTAACGTAAAAATAAAATAAAAATGCTTACCCAAGTCGAAAATGGATCACCGGGAAATACTAACCAGAAGGTATAAGTATAATATATCGTTGCAGAATTTTAGAAAAATAATATCCAACATAGAAAGTAGTAGAAGTTAATGGAGAGTGGCTGAAAAATTAAAAATAATAGTTTTTGAAAGATAATATTATTTAACGTAAATCACATGTTTTCAAGAAAATTAACTGAAATTTACTAAGTAAATATGAACATTTAAAATATATTTAAGTTTAAAAACAGTATTTAAATTTAACCAAATCAAGTCAATAACATTGTTTATAAAACTATTTCATTGAACTTGTGTGAAAGAAGAAGTGAAACATGAAAATATTTCATGGACATGTTTAAACCCTTAAATTAATATTTTATAGGTTTTCTTGTCTTAATTGTGTAAGGACAATATTTTTTGGGGCTAATGAGAAATGGTTGCAGATGAAATTTAATTAATTTTAGTATTTCGCCATCGGCAGAAAGATACGCAACATTATCTGTGTATTTTGTTATATTACTTTATACATAACTACTTAATTAATACATAGCCCACTATCTATGTATTCATCCTGGATTAGTTACTGATCTTAAAGAGCTGAAAAAATCGTGGCAAGATGATACCTCGTCGGTCAATCTTACCTATCTTTCGAGTCTTCTTCTGAATGGTTCCCTCTTCGACAAACTGCAGTCCATTTTTTTTTGTTCATATTGATTTCTTCCATCAGAATATAAAGATTTGATCTTCTAATGCGAGTGGTTGGCAATGTATTGCTTAGAGTTGTAAACCTACAATAACAAATTCGATTCCCGGAGCAAATTGGTGCTGTTTTTTTTAATATATTTTTCTGTAGGTTTAGTACATCAACGATTTTAGTCTTCTATTTAAGGCTAAAATTACTGTTAACTATGAACACACGCCAAGCTTATTTCGTACTAGAGAGTGACCTAGTCTCCTGCAGAGAAATAATGAACGATAATGATTTTTTCAAATTATTGGCTCATCAAGCTAAGATCCTCGGACTAATGCATTAGCATAATGGAGGTACTAGAATTTCGAGATTTAATATGTAAATGTTTAACCGAATTTGAAACCCCGGGCTCACAATTCTTATAGATAACCGACAATTTGACTCTCACAGCACCGCCCTGACCCGGATACTCCGGCAAACAAGAACTCTGGATGGACACAGATCGGCCAGGTGGGAGGTACCGTTAGAACCTCCTACAATTACCATAAAAGAGCTGGGTCCCGAGGAACACGTCTCGGGTGACACCATCTAACTCTTCGGAAACCGTAGGTATAGATACATATATATTTCAGTCAGAGAAACAGAATAACGTACTCTGGGGATTCAGAACATTCTTCGTATAATAAAGAAAACTATACAGAACTATATAAAAGGTACAGAAACTTCTTCATGGCTCCATTTTAGTTAATAATCGTATAACCTTGAAATTAAATATTGTTATGTTTTTCGTAAAACAAAAAATAATTTTTTCCTATCTAGAGTTTAGGTTTAATTAATTTAAAAAAAAAGTTTTTCAAGAGGTTGAGGAAGAACCTAACACATCCACCAGCATAGAACTTCAAATGGAAGTTCTGATCAAAAAAGAAAAAAAAGAAACCCACATATAACAGAAAAACATCTAACAATAATGAATGAAAACAATTAAATAATTCCAGTCATAAATAACTACTTTATATTAGTAAACATAACATTTATAAATAATAAAATATTAAAGAACAAATAAACTAATTATAATCAGAAAATGTATAAATCAAAGATAATAGTAGAAAAAACGTAATAATTATTGAATACTTAATAGTTGACCACTTTGGAGGTCTTCAGAACTACAGGACTCAGTTCTAAGTGAAACTCCTTACTGAACACACTTCCCTGAAGAAGACCTGCAAAGTCGTGTCGAAACGTTGGATTTTAATAAAATAGTTTTGTCACTATTTAGTCTAATTATGACCGCCATCCCGGACCATCTCCTTTCTTTAATAATTATTGTATTATTTTTCAATTATTTTTCTGTATAATTTATTTTATTAACTGTACATAGAGTGTGAATGTGATCTGTGAACACTATTATAAATGTCCTTGAGACAGACTGTAATATTTTTCAATAAATAAGATTTAAAAAAAAATTAATAATTATTGTATCAATTATCAATATATTTGTATTAGATGAATAAGACTGGTACGCAAGATCTTTGGCGGATTGTAAATAGTGTGTATAGATATTTCAGTGTAATATTACTTCATTTAACTTTAAGTTTACTTTTTTTTTTTTTATTGAATACACTTTTTGATAATCAGTTTGCTTTTGTTTTATTTTACTTATTTATATTTTTTGTATGTAAGTTATGAACGAACTGACAGATTGTTATATTACGCAATAAAATGCAACAAAAAAAATTAATCAATTTTTTCGAAAATGGTTGTGAGGTGGTTTGATGAAATCTGTTTCGTAAATGAAATTTACCACTATTATTATTGTCATCATTTATTTTTTCCATTTTGAATATTGGACCGTTTTACAATTAGAAATAGTACAATTCTCCAAGAATAAAAATTAAGAAAATTTCAACCTAAAACTTACAGTATGAATGTAGGTATGTAAAATAAATTCAATCCACAGAAATAATAATATATTAAAGAACAAACAAAGGACATGAAACCTAGAGGGAGAAGAGACCCTAAGGAAACCAAATGAATAAACCAGGAAGGAAGCTAGGGGAGGCAAAAAGAGAAAAAAATCCGGATGTGAACATAAAAACCAGCAACGGAGAGGAGTGGAACTGTACGTTCAAGATTCTTCAGCAGGCTACCATGAAAACGTAGAAAGTCAGTTCGCCAGCAACCACTATGTGTAATAACCGTAAGTTATTATACAACTTACATATAATAATACGTAACGCTTATGTAATACACTCAGGCTATCAGAGCTAATTCTAAAGATTCTTAGAAGTCCGGGAAATTTAAGAGATGAAATGATTTTGATTTTTCTTGTCTAGTCGATGCCAATAGAAGTCAAGTAGAAATCAGCTTTTCCGTCCTAGGCAGGACTGAATTTTCAACACGTTAACTTAATACGATAGTGAGATATTTCATGTTTGTTAAATTGGTAACTTTCATTAGTTGTTTACTCTGTTAATCACCTCTGATTATTCGTCATGTTTATTAAGTTAACTACTCGATAACGATTCTATTTTGGCTATGATCGAAAATAAATTTATGTTACTTATTTAATTGAACTTGTAAATTGAATAATTTAATTCTGTAAATACTAAAACTATTCTGTGAAAAAATTACATAATTTTGTTTTTATTTTACTTTTCTACAGTCAGCTGATTCGGAGAGATAGTTAAGCGAGGTTCTGCTGATAAGCGTTTCGATTTAGTAAATGAATTTTCCATTCAAGGAGAAAAAATAGAGAGAAATTAGAAAAAAAAAATGAAGGCTACAAGCTAATTTTCCACGTTTTTTGAAATATGTACGTAAATATAAGGAATATAATTTTTGTAGTAAGAGGTGTATGTTTTTAGTTTTTTAGGCGTAATTTGTCTATTTACTTCATAGCTCAAAGTACCGTTAGAGCCAAATACAGAAACGCTAAGTTAGATGTATATTTTGAAAAATTAATTTTCTATATATCCTCAAAACATACAAATTTTTGTTAGCTAAAATAAAGATTCTATTCAAGATAGCATAAGAGAAAAAATATATATAACATTAATTTAAATATTTTAGATTAAAAGGTGATGTCTTAAATGATATAAATTTGAAAGATAATTTTCAAAAATAAGGTTTTTAATAATTTAAACATTTCATAAGAAAAATTATGCGTGAGCTTTAAAAAATGTTCAAATTAGTACCACATAAGAGTCAAAGCGTTCTTTTATTGTAAATACAAAAAAATAGACAATAGAGAACGAAACACAAAAATTAAATAATAAATATTATTTAGAAAGTATATGTAAGAATTGCGTTGAGTGATCAAATTTTTTTTTCATAATAAGTTTAAAGAGAGATGTTACCGCCACAAAATGTTACTCATTAAAATTATATGTATAATACGTAATAAACAAAACATATTAAAAAAGGAAGTATACTTAGTCCTTAAATATAGACATATAAAACACAATATGGTGTTTAAGAAAATAGGAAAAAATATATAACGATCTATTTATATTCGTAAGAATTTGTAGTCATTGGTAAAAATTCCATAAATAATTGGTCCCAGATAAAAGGAAAAGAACAAAATATTAAAAGGACGAGTTAAAATTACGAAAACAAAACTAATAAAAAAAAAAACTGAACGTTTTCTTTACTCTGTGTTGTAATATGAAAGTTTAAAAATGTTATGCATTTAATCATGTTATTTTTTTTTTTACCATCTCTCTTTACAATTTCTTTTCGGACATTTAGTTTATTTAGTTATATAACTTGATTAGAAGAATCTATTCCTTGTTTATGTTCTTCGAAAAAATGTTTACAGTTTTCCCAGAATATGTTCTAGTATCAATAAGATTGGACGGTGTAGAACTTTTATACAACACCAAAGTATTAATCTTACAAAGGAAGCAGATGGTCCGGGGTGGTGGTCATAAATAGAACGGACAAGATACAAAAAAATAGAGAATTGTGGCAGTTACATAATATTTAGACAAAAATTATAAACAATGTGAAAAAGCGTTCCAGCCCTGAAGTGGACCTGCAAAGTCGGGTCGAAACGTCGGCTTTTAATAAAATAGTTTTACCACTATTTAGTCTATTTATGACCGCCACCCCAGACCATCTCCTTCCTTTATAATGCAACGGTCAACTATTAAATATTCAATATTAATATTGAAAAAGTCCAATTTGCCACTTTAGAGAATGGAGTAAGACTCTTAACTTCCAATTTTAGTTATGAGTCTACCAACAAAGAAAAATATTTATTGTTTCATCAGCTGATGAAACAACGATGATCGAACTTAGTGTCCGAATGTCCTCCTAGACCTAATCAGCATCAGTTGAGTAGATATCTGGTTTATCTACTTCCATTTGACGATGGGATAAACATGGATGTGCATTTACAAAATAAATTAGCAATTTGATTCCTACCAGAGAGAGGAAAGCAGATTTAGTTGGAGTTGGAATATCCAATCAGTAATGTCCTAGACATAATAGAACGGCAACTCCCCACCATAACTGTTCGCTAACCGAAGTTAAATAAAAGAATAAACAAGAAGCGGTCACTGACTGGGCCAGTCGGCCGTGACTTCCTCTCCGGAAGCTGCAACTGCCACAGCGATGTCGTCCGATGTTGGCCGCGAAGTCCTCTGTTGCACATGGATGGCAACATAAGTTTCTACCATTCAGTAAAATCAGAGAACAATTAAAACATAATATGATCGTTAAAATGAATCAGAAGGTCCACAATTCTACATTGGTTGATTTGTCGGATCCTTGTTGTTGTAGTTATTTTAAGGATACGGTGTTGTATCATTTAAAAATGATATCACATAAATGGATCATGAAGTCAAGACCTCTCAAATAAAAAACGAATAACTAGACACCGTTCGCTAATCAGACATCGGGTCTGAAAAAAATTAAAACACATAGTAGAAGAGAAGATTGGGTGGAGTGTTCAGTCAATAAAAAACAATGTGTAAATTAAATAATTTATTGAAGAGAAGGATGGTTGGTGTGATCAGTCAAAATTAAATAGTAAAAATAATAATTTTATTGGTCTTGTTACCCTTATTATTATTTATTTCTTGTTTCGCTGTTACTGTTATTATTCTACCTACTTTATTTTACTTTAATGCTCACTCTATCTAGTTCATTTTACGTTAAGTTTTACTACCTAAATTTTTAGTCCATAAATTTCACTTTTTTAATTTTAATTCTTTATTCCTTCCGAGGCGTCTGAAAAGAAGATGGCCTCGAGATCTCCTTTTGTAAATACATTTTTAGAGTGTTACCAGTAGGTAGTTTCGCAACAAGTGATTTCAGGTTATTATATTCTTTTGTTCACATTTACTGAATGTATTTTTACTTGTAATACAGTTGTAAATATCATCAATAAAAAAATATAAAAAATTCTTTATTATTCAATGTTTATTGTTTCTTATACCTATTGGTATGTGGTTCTTTTCTTAGCAGTGATGAATCTCTAAACTTCGGGCTGAAACGTCGGCGAATGTGAAAATAAATACAATTTTTTTTTTTTATATTTCATTTTGACTGATCACCCCAACCATCCTTATCTTCAATTA